GTGTGCTCACGCGGAGCTTTCAGTTTGTCAAAATCAGCCATAAACGTGTCATTCCAAACGAGGTAAGTGCTTATGACGGAAATCCCGGGTACACCGAGGAGGATTTTATAAGAGTTTAAAAGGGTGGAGAACGAAGGTGGGAGCACACATTCTGGAAGTAACTAGGAATGGAAAGACCAGCATGGCTGAATTATGTACGTCTTAAAAGCAGGGGAGTGATTCGGATATATTTATTTGCATTTAAAAAATGATGGTATTGTTTTCTGGGTGGCCTGTGTGTTAATAGTCATTTTATTCTGCTTTGTAGTGCACGTTTGTATTTTTTTTTTTGGTTTGGTGGTTTGTGAACTATTTTATATTGGCAGATTTTTAGCAGAAAGCGGATACCCCGCATTATTAGTGTGCGGGACGGATAGTGTGACATGAGCCAGGAGACCTGGGCGGGAGGATCGGGTGGGTGTCCTTTATACACATTCTAGGATTCGCCTTCCTGCATGTCAGTGAGGGGTCTTGTCAGCCCACTTTGAGGCGAGGACGCATTTACAGAAGTAGGGAGATTGAGCCCAGAGTAGATCTGCCTTACGATCATATTATTTCTCGTATCCACAAGTCTTTGCCAACTGCTGGTTCTGCCCTGCTCTTAACATGTTTTGCATTTTCCTTCTGGCCAGTTTAAAGGCACCAATTATCAGCAAAGGGAGGAACCTTTGGGAACCAACCTGTAGAAAAGAATTTGAATAAGAAAGGAAGGTTTTAAATTTTTCATTATTTTCTTTTTCCCCATTGTTCAGGGCTTGATATTCATAGTTACGGTAATAGAAGAATTGCAGCCTGTGTTGAAGTTTGCAGCCTTGGAGGGGAGTAACGTCAGCAGGTTCCTATTTTTATACTGCATGGCCAGATTGATATTTTACTTGGAAGAACTTTGGTGTTACAGGAAAGACGTGTAAATTTTCTGTGACTTTTATAACCAACTAGCCTGTGGGACTAGCCCTGGCATGGAAGAAACGAGCTGTTTCAGCATTTTAGTTTATATACTGCGGAAGTAACTACATTCAAACTGATGCTATGCTGCGAGGTATCTGAGACACCTTGTTTAGATTGTACATTTCAAAATAATCGTCTCTCAATTTTGAGAGCCAGGGAAGATGAGGACCTCCAGCCGCTTAGTAAATGGTAAACTGGAAATGCATGGTGTAAGAAGTCAGAAGGTACATGCCGTCTTCACTTGTAAATTATATGCTTGACCTTGGTGGGGGCCAAGGTCATCTCCACTGCTCCATAAAGCAGGGAAGGGAGCTTCTCAAATTAAGGAAGAGACTGCCATAGCCCAACTGCCCTGACTTTTCTGAACTGTTGCCCTCTGCCATCTGGCCTCCAAGTCTAAACAGAGGGAGCCCATTTGCATTCCTTGAGAGGTTGCACCTTTAGGGGGTCAACCTTAGCTCTAGAAAAGTCAGGTCAGGCTCACTCCTGGCCCAGTTCTTGAAAGCTAATCTGATTAGATCTGAAAGTTCTGAGACCGGCTGGAAGTCCTTAAAGCAACCAACCTGGGACTCTTTGGGAAGCAGAGGTAAAGGAAAGGAAGGACCAGACAGCTAGACTCTGCCAGACC